TTACTACTTAATTTTACTTTTACTTTACTTACTCTCTCTACTACTACTACTACTACTCCTCCTTCTTCCTCCCTCCCTCCTCTACAGACACTCTCTCTCTCTCTCTCTCTCTCTCTCTCTCTCTCTCTCTCATGGTGGGCCAAAGAGGATGAATCATAAGAGAAAGCAACCCAGATGTAAAACTTTTCAAAGACCTCTGTCTTTATAAACATTAGGATTTCACTCTTATGCTCATCTACTGTTCCTCCATCTTTGTTGAAGATTGAGCTCTGAGCTTTAATGGCGGATGGCAAAAAAAGTGACCCAGATGTCAAGCTTTTTCAAGACCAACAATATAGTGTCTTGAAGATTTGAAACTTTAGCACGACCCATTTAAATCCCCGACCTGATACACTAGGCTTTGAGATGGCCTATTTTGGTCATGTGTGTAAGGCTTTGAGATGGCCTATTTTGGTCATGTGTGCTAAAAACATTATCCTTGTTATATAGATTAAGCCTTAAATGTGGTGACCTATGAGAAAGGAGTCTTGGTTGGGTAAACATCTTATCAAGAAAGGCATGCCGTATATCCATTAGGGCAAACGTGCACCAATGAGGTTTAAAACAGGGTTTGAGAGACAATAGTAGGGTCTGTGAAGGGGCATTGAAACCAAGGGAAAAGATGTATGGTGCTTATAAGGTAGCTACAGAGGTGGCATAGAGAGAAGTCCCCACTATTTCAATTTGACGAAACATGGGATGATATTTGGTTTCGGTTGGGTTTGAGGCTTCTAGGCTCCAATAAACAATCCTGATGCTGAGATTTTCGTCGATGAGGTCTTTTCCTTCTTTGAAAGAAGGAGAAGCCAAAACCTAAGGTTGGGGTAAAAACCTCAGTTGCGTTTTGGTTGAAAACTAAGGTCAGATAAGCAAGAGACGAAAGACCATTGTTTCTCTTTCAACTATATGTGAGCAGTCAAACATACACCAAAAAATAGAATATCGATAATAGATAATCTTAATTATATAGAAAACCTAGCAATACCTTTATACAAATTTTAGAAAATCTGAATTTCTAAAATTCAGTTTTGTCAAACATACCCTAAAGCATTTAGGGTCTGGCATAAAAAAGTAACAACAACTGGACAGTTATGTACTATTGATTTTTTAGTTCCAGATTTTGAGTTAAACACTATTAGAAACATTAAGCCATAGTATATTTACTGGACTGATGTAGAAACAAGAAAATCCACCATAATTGAATGAGCTTTCATCTTACAATAATCTCCAATTGTGGGTACTACCACATTCTAGAAAACAAAACAATACAATATAATATCACCCATTATGTACTTCACAAAGCAGCTCTAGGCGCCACCTTTAATCATGTGCGAAAGTTCTTCAAAGAAGACTGCAAGAAATCCATCAACTCGAAAGATGCCTCATGCTTCTTAAATCTCATCCCCAAATAGATCATTTTGTGAATTTCTTTTAAATGCAAGTTTAATGGTCATATTATACATGTGGTAAAACAAATTCAAACCATTGCCAATCTGAAGACCAATATTTAAGAAACTAAGTAGCAAATGCTATACAGTTTTTAAATATGTATGCATGTCATGCTTTCTTTCGTGGAGATATCTTTAGATGTGAAAAACACACTCAAGACACAGGCATCAACTAAAATATGGCTTTCCTGGTGCATACAGCTTCGAAAGTTAATTTTGCAACAACATTCCAATTTAAGTTCTCTCACATAGACTGCGGAGATTCTCCTTTATTGGTTGAAGATTAAAGTACTTAAAAAAAGGAACGTCTAATATAAAATACAACTATAAGTTTAGGAAAGCATCAGAACACATTAATGTCATACCAATAACAACTGCATGAAAATGGAAAACAGGAAACATTAAAATTTGGAAGCGAAAATAAAAGTTCTAGAATTTTAGGCTATACCGTGAGAAGCACATTCACAGATTGTTCTATCTTGATGCACCATTCCTCAAGAGTTCCTGATGTACTTTCAAGTGGCTCTTGCTCAACCTTGTCTTCTTCCTTGTCTTGTAAAATTGTTGCTTTCACTAGATGTAATTTCCTAAAAATGTAAGGGAAGTAGAAAGAAAAATAATTATCCAGTGATGCACAAGCTTGAAATTCATATTGAAGTTACACCTTATAATATTTTGACTAATGTAGGAAGTTCCCCAAGGTAGCCTCAACTTTTAGATTTTAAGAAGGTCCTCAAAATGAGTAATTTTATATAATATATGTCACATATAGGGTGTGGTTTCCATAAGGTTGTAACCTTAAACAATCCATTTAAGGCGCACCTTCAAATTTTATCATAACATATAATTTTAATGCAAGACATTCTTAAGATTACCTCAAAATCTATTTTCAAATCTAATTATAAAAATTTACGTTCCAAAAATGATTAAAATCAAGTAGATTTAGAAACATATGAAAATCTTGAAAATGGACGGTCTAGATAATATGTTGTAAGATGCACCATTTCTAAGACTCAAAATCCTTTTTTTTTCATAGTCATACATCTCAATGTCGAGATAATCAATTAGAGGGTTTTCAACATTAAAATAACCTTTACCAATGGATTTTTGAGGTGCATATGTAGTTCTCGATTTTAAGGTTGCAACCTTATACAAACTTTTCCCTTACTTATAATAATGTTAACAGTTCCTGAGAAGTGATTGCATGCAATAAAATGACTCTAATAACGACCAAAAGTAGCTCAGTACCCATCTAAAGAAGTAAAAAGCAGTACATGCTCTTCACTTTTTACTAATTCTGTCCAAAACTAAGCATCCAGATATAGGAGAGCATACATATATTCCAAAAATAATCAGACGGCTCCATTTTTTTTTTTTTTTTTGACAAATGACAGGGCTCCATATTAATAGTTGTATAATCATGGGTTTGGACCATAGAAATAGATATATATGGTAAAGTTTTTCTGATGGAAGCAATATATTCATGGCGTTAAATCACATAAACACAATCTTGGCCTATTCCTCAATCAGCTTGCTTTTTTATAACCATCATAGAACTGTTTAACAACACTTTCCAGTGCACGTATCTCTCAATTTTATTCATATTTCCCATCAAAATTACTTCGCAGTTTTTCACTCAAATAAGGAAAACCAGATCTCCTTAACACATTTCTCTCTACTACAAACATCTCTGGTCCAAATAAACTACCAATTTAGAGTGCTCACAACCAATGATGAAAGTAGGGAGTAGGATCATGCAACGAAAGACAGGATATCAATAAATTGAAGCTGTAAATTAAGTGAAGCTTTCAAAATTCCAGTTTCCATCAATTGCTATTGACCAAACGGAAGCTAGAAACACATAAAGATGGTAAACCAAACATGAAATCGCAGCCAATAAGGCACACTTCAATTTCCATTCTCTGATAATAACAAATTAAACAAACACAAACTCAAAATTCAATCTCTCAATTCCGTAATCAAGCCTTTAATTCAACCCAAAAAATAAAAATTCCAAACGAGAGACAGGCGACCACCGCAATCATTTCACAAGACAGGGCTTTAAATTAACACAAATAAAAAAAAACTAATGGATGGCTACATAAAAGACCAAACGGTATCAAACAAACTGGGATTCTGTTAGAGAGAGAGATTTACCTCGGAACCCTCCTGCGAAGGGGAGAGAGAGTGGGGAGACAGGTAAGGACTTTCTGAGTAGAGATAGAAAGGGAAACAGAAGAAGGGAAGGGAATCATGGCGGTAGCAACCGTTCCCATGTCTAATTTGGCCACAAAAGGCATCGAGGATTCTCTCTGTCCAGCAGAGACGAAAGCAAACGGCAAGAACGAGAGGAGTGTATCTCTGGATCACCTGATTCTGGTGCCCGCCGAATCTATGGCTGAAGAGGTTTTTGATTTATGTGCGTATTCTATGCTCTTGCGGACTAAACTGTACATTTTACTCTATCGGACTAAAGAGCTTTCCTTTTTTTTCTTTTTTTGTGAAAAGTTTATATAGAGCCGAGGCTCTAAATAATCAAATAAAAAGCATACCCCAAAAATTTCACTAGAAGTGGTTGTTTTGATGCCCAAATATCCTCAAATTGATCATCTCGACGTCAAGATGCATTGACATAAGAAAAAATTGGATTTCAAGTTGTGGAAATAGTTTAGTTTGTGATGTATTTTTTTACCATCAATTTTTAAGTTTTTATAGATATGTCATCTACACTATTTTTGAATCTTTAAACTTTATAAATATAAATATAAAAATATATTTTAAAGCTATCACAAATATTTTCAATATTGAAACCACATTTCTCAACACATTTTGAAGGTAGGCTCTAAATTAATTGTTTAGAACCTACGCTTAATACAAACTGCACCCTTTTTTTTTCTTTTTTTATAAAAGTTTAGGATTGGATTCAGAGTTCTTAAATACTGACCTTCAAAGATTAAGACCATGTTTGTTCAATCTTGGACTACTATTTTTCAGGAACATGAACAATGGTATGTGGTTGCTTTCTGGAGGGCATCTAAAACTCCTTACGTGTGGGAGTGTTTTCGTGTCAATTGGCTGCCAATTGATGCGAAAAGATAGTTGGACCAATTATGTGAAAGAATACCTAATATGCAGGTCAAACATGCTCTTTTTGGAGATTAGTCATTCTCGAAGAGGTTTTGTTTCGATAGAGCTGGATCCTTTAATTGCCATGAGATAGGGTTTTAGACAAAGAAAATGGTTTGATAGGGCTGCACCCGATCAAATTAAGAAAAGCCTCACCTCATAACTCATTGAAAATTGCAATTCAAGTACTGAAAAATGCTTACATCGATCATCTCGACTTGAACATTACCATTGTGAAAAAAAATAGGATTTCACCGTCCGTTTCATCCTAAAAATAAGGAGTCACAAATCTATAAGATCTATGCAATTTTTTTTTGCCGAAAGTGCCTTTCAGATGAAGATTTTAGGGGAGGCTTTATTTTTATTTTTCTAAAGCCTAGGCCTTATAACAACTTGTATCTTTCATACAATAGAGTAAGTATATAATTTACTCCCACGAGAGTACTAAAAGTTCCATTTCTATCCTTGTTACGTTTTGTTTTTTCTCGGCAAATGGCACGGCTCGTATGAGATTGCCATATTCGGTCGCTTTGGCGGTTCCGCGGCGGTGTTTACGTAGGGAATATGTAATGAGACCACTTACCTCCATGGTCACGATTTATCTCGCCCATTGGATGTGAAATTCCATGGTCACGATTAATCTCGCCCATTGGATGTGAAATTGGATGGTTGTATTTATTTCATTCGTCAAGAACAAATTCTAAAAGAATTTTTCTCGAGCATTGTGACACTTTCAAGCTATCAAGTTGCACATCGAATGCTTGTAAATAATTGTGACCACCTTGTATCAAAGGTAAATGATCTCATTATATACCATCCCTATACTAAATAAGTATGTGGTTTATGTAATGAAAAAATGTATATAAAGCCGAGACTCTAAACAATCAATATAGCATGCCCCTAAAAAATTCACTAAATGATGTTGTTTTGAAGTCCAAATATCCTCTAGTTGATCATCTTGACTTCAAGATGCATGGACAAGAGAAAAAAATGGATTTTAAGTTTTCAAAACAGTGCATCTTGTAATACAGTTTTGGAAAAAGTTTATATAAGGTTGCAACCTTATAATGTAGAGCTACAGATGCACATCAAAAATCCATCGGAAAATGTAGTTTTAATGTTGAAAAACTCTTTGATTGATCATCTCGACATCGAGATATATGACCATGAAAAATAAAAAAGATTTTAAGCCTCAGAAATAATGCATTTTACAACATATTATCTACACCGTCCATTTTCAAGATTTTCATATGTTTATATATATACTTGATTTTAACCATTTTTTTAAATTTAAAATTTTAGAATTAGATATAAAAATAGATTTTGAGATAATCCTAAGAACATTTTACATCAAAATTATATACCATGATAAAATTTGAAGGCGCACCTTACCCTTACAGTTATTGATGCATCTGTATGCGTCAATTTTTAAGTTTTCATAAATTTGTTCAATCTACGCTATTTTTTAAGCTTTAAAATTTATAATTAAAGATGAAAATATATTTTAAAGATAGCACAAACATTTCCAATACTGAAACTACATTTTTGGAAACTATTTGAAGTTGTGTTTTACTTTCATTGTTTAGAGCCTCGGCTCTATATAGATCGCGCCCTTATATCATTTGTCAACTATAAACAATTAAATCAAGACACACCCCCTATTACTATAGGCAAGGCCTAAAAATCTATTTTCACCTCAAATTATTAAATTTATAACTTCAAAAATAGTGTAGATCGAATAGATTCATGAATACTTAAAAATCTTGAAAATGGATGGTCTCAAGATATAGCTATAATAAATGGTAATAGAAGTGGAATCTCTGTCGTCAGATCTTCAACAGGTGGTTCAAAATACATGTCACTATTTGATTTTAATATATTTTTTATAAATTATAGAGTAATGAGACTATGAGACCCCTCCCACACCCATATGAGTAGGAGCCCAAAGGATCACCATTAAATTTTAACACAGATCTCTAGAAAATGTATCACATGGGTAGGACTTGGGTGAATGGATTTATTGATAACTTTTCTAGGGATCTTTATCAAAATTTAATGGTGAATCTTTGGGGTCCTACTCACATGGGTGTGGGAGGGTTTCATAGTATTATTGCTCTAAATTATATTGAGAAGAAATTTTAGGTGTATATGCTTGATACTATTGCACATCATATAAAATATAAAAATAATACTATCAAGAATTCAAAATGTCTAAATTTCCTCTACAACTTTTTAGAGATATTTTGGTCATTTTATATTTTAGAAAATATTTGTTTTATATTTTTTCATGTACGCCCTTTTTTAGTACATATGCCCAACATTTCATCACGATCCGATTTCTAAAATAAAAATAAAATTCAGATAGTGACATTTATTTTGAACCACCTGATAAAGATCTAACGATTGGGATTCCACCTATATTACACTGCATTATAGCGCCCAAGTGTTTGTTAGCTTTTTCCATATATATATATATATATATATATATATATATATTTGTGTTTGCAAATTCC